AGGACTTGGTAATGTGTAAGAGTCTCCTGCATGGTTCTGGTGTTGAAAGCGTGAAGGGGTCACAGAGAGCAGCTGAGTCTTGGCACTCTGAGAGGCCAGGAAAGGCCATAGGTGAAAGTACAGCTTCAGTTGCAGAGAAGACCCCAGGATTGAAGGGGTCATGGAGAGAATCTGAGGTTTTGCACCCCAAGAGGCAAGAAGAGGCCATTGGTGAAGGTGTAGCCTCAGTTTCAGTGGAGATCCCAGCTTTTTGGAGATGGCAGGACCATGGGATGACCACCAAGGACAGCAGTAGGTGTGGAATGGAGCTGGCCTGGGTCTGCGAGATGACCTACGTGTGCTGTGGATGGCAGAGTCAGAGAAATAGAGCTGCCAGAACCCTTTGGAGTCCAGAAGACAGTGAGTGAATCCCAGATGTCCAGCCTTGAGCTACTGTTCTGGACTTTGGTTTTGGTTAGGGGTGCCCAAGTCTTTCCTTTGAAATAAGACAGTACTTGTTTTGGATTTTACAGAAGCTCATCCACAGTTAAGAGAATACTAAAAGAGACTATGGATTTTTAAGTGTTTGGAATTTTTAAGGCCTGTGGGGTTTTTAAGGTTGTACTGTCTTATGTTGTGATAATAGTGTTAACATCATATCTTGGGGACAAGAATTGGAAAAGTTATGGTTTAATAGTGATGTGTTTGTGTGTCTAGTTGACAAGGGGTCAGTTGTGCTGATTGATGGCTTTAGTATCAACTTGACACATGTAGGTTGAGGGAGCCTCAATTGGGGAACTGCCTTCATTGGACTGGCCTGTGGCCATGTCCATGGGGCACCTTCTTGATTGTTGAGTGATATAGGAGGGCCCAGCCCACTGTGGGTGGTGCCACCCCTGGGCAGGTGGGCCTGTGTTGCATAAGAAAGTAGGCTGAGCAGGGGCCAGGGGAGCAAGCCGGTAAATAGCACTCCTTCATGGCCTGTTCTCCAGCTCCTGCCTCTAGGTTCCTGCTCAGAGTTCTTACCTTGGGCTCCCTGATGAACTGTGACCTGGGAGATGTAAGACAAATAGATCCTTTCCTCCCCAAGTTGGTAGTGGTCATAGTGTTTTGTCACAGCAATGGAGAAGCAAACTAAGATACTGACTGAAGTTGAGAACAACACAAAATTATGAGTATAAATAGAAATATTTAGAAGGCAGTTTGACAGCAAGACCAAGGTTCCCACCTAGGACCTATGATCTCCCCAGTCATGAACTGTTGACCAGGTTCATAGGACTAGGCATGAGATCCCACCTGTGGAGGAAGCCCCAAATCCCTTCAGAAAGTGGTTGATTACCTCCATAATCATCATACCTGCATCTTGCCAGGCAGGTCAGTACTAAAGCATGTAAGGTCCTGTGCAGGGTCCCCAGGTGTCTGAAAAGCACCTTCTGGCAGTATGTAAGCTGGCTATCAGGGAGGAAGTTTCCTGATCAGTTGATTTCTATATGCTCTGCATCCAAAATGAGTGGTATCTTCAGCAATAGGGTGTTAGCATTTAGTTATGGTGGACAGACAAGAACAATGGCTTATATGCCTCTGGGGTCCCTAGATCAATAACTCTTAGGTCAGCATCCTATGTCTGACATAACATGAGACATAATAACTCATGTCTTCTGGGAGCAGCATTGTTCAGCCATGCAGGGTACTTCTGTTCAAACTCTGTTTTTTATATATTTTAAATTACCTTATGAACTAGAAGATTTCTGGAAGGTGTCTTCATCTATTCTTAGTTTTTGTTAACACACCCCTTACCTTCTTCTCTCCCAATCCCCCTATCTTCACTTAAACTTTTAATCCTGAGCACTCCAATTCCCTTTCATGTCACCTGTGTTTTATTCTATTTCTTCTTGCTATTTTTTCTTCTGTTGGAAGATTGTAGTTTTCCATTCACACGCCTTTCATTTTGGTTATGCCTCTGCCACCCCCTCATTTCCCTTCTTTGACATCCTTTGATCTGTGTCTTGTATTGTTTATTTATCCCCTGTGGCCTCTTTGAATGTGTTTATCCTTTTTTTCCCCAGAACTGAACTGTTCTTTCCAGTAGCCCATGTAGAGCTGGCTTAGTGGCCATACATTCTTTTAATATATTTTTAGCATGGAATGTTCTTATTTATTTAATTTTAATGGATAGTTTTTCTGGGTATAATAGTATGGGCTGGCAGTTTTGGTATTTCAGAACTTAGAACACATCTTTTCAGGCTCTTCTGGCTTTAAATTTTTAATTGAATAGTCAGGTGTCCCTCTGATGGGCCTGCTTTCATAAGTGATCTGGTCTTTCTCTCTTGCAACTTTTGATATTCTCTCTTTATTCTGTGTTTTTAGTGTTTAACTATCATATGATGTGGGCGTTTCTTTGGTCCTCTTTAACCTGTCAGGGCATGTCTTTTTGTAGATTTAAGAAATTTTTTTTTCTGTGGTTTCATTAAAATTTTATCTATGCCTTCAGTGTGGTATTATTCTCTTTCTTTTATGTCCATAATTTGAAGATTGGTTCTTTCAAAGAGTCCCAAATAGCTCCCATTCTGCTGTTTATGTTTTTTTATTTTTTATTTTTACTTTATGTATATGGGTGTTTTGCTTACACGTGTATAAGTATACCTGTGTGCGCAATGTCTGCAGAGGCCAGAAGAGGGTGTTGGAACCCCTGGAACTGAAGTTGTGGATAGGGGTTAGCCAACGTTTGGTTGCTGGGACTCAAACCTGGGTCCTCTGCAAAAGCAGCCAGTGCTCTTATCTACTGAGCCATCTCTCCAGCCCCCTGTTCAGTTTTTTTAAAGTTTGTCATTGGCCTTCATTGAGTGGCCAATTCTACTTTGTCTTCCAGCCTGAGACTCTGTTTTCCACATGACCTATTTTATTACTGAGGCTTTCCACTGAGGTTTCTATTTGACTTATTGAGCTTTTAATTTCCAGCATCATTTCAATTTAGTTTTCTTCAGCAATT